TGGGATTTGGGGCACACATGCACATGTACCCGACGTGATTCTCGAGCCTCCAGGTCCAGGACTCAGACAGCACAGTCTGCCAGGTGGGATGCAGCCACCTCAACCTCACTACCTGCTGGCCCTGGTATAAACTTTACGAACATAAGATCGTTTCACTGGATGCTCAGTCCAGCAGAAATGATAAAGCTACCACATCACACCAGTGCAGCACTTCCGCTCTCTTCAACCTGCACTGAACCTGTGAGAGGGCAGGAGCGTGACTGACAGACATCGTAATTTTATAGTGAATTCAGAGTCAAGTGACTCTGTCTTCTATTCCTGGATCTGCTCACTGGCCACTGACCTTGGACAAATCACTTCCTCCCTAAGCCTTCATTTCACCAGCTGCAAACTGGAAGGAAAGGCGGCTGGTCTACAAGGGCAGACAATATGACTGACGACACTGGTAAGGAGAGCCTCAGCTGCAACCATGGCTGACCGGAGAGCACATGCTTGCCTAAAACGCACTCACAACCAAAGATATGTTTTAAACGAACACCAAACAAAATGAGCCATGGGCTACAGTTTAGCCTATAGATCGTCAGTTTCTAACTCCTTAGAGCAGCTCTAAAAGCCCTTCGCAACTAGACTGTCCAATACCATAGTGACAAGCCACATGTTACCTCTCACCATGAGACACATAGCTGCTCCAAGTTGAGTTATAAGTGAAAAACTCACAATGGAGTGAAAAGACTTAATGTAAACAAAAGACCAGTCAGTGGTGCAATGGTACACAACACTCTAATAGGCTGTGCCAACATGGTAAGGCCCTGAGTTCACATCCTGAGGCCTCCCTGTGCATACCAGGTACATGCATACCTGCAATCTGGGCTGGCTGTGGCTTGGCAGGTGGGGAGGATTTTGGTATAAAGAACCTGTTGGGGGGACCAGCAGTTAGCGTAATGGCTATGTCGCTGGACTCCCACGTAGTCAACCACGGTTCGAGTCCCAGACCCGGTGGCTTAAACTCACACCAGGTACATGTACGTGCGTGCCCAAGATCCCAAGAGGAGAATAGAGGAGAAGGGATTGCGGCGTGGCCAACCCCCCGGGGGGTAATTTCTCACTTTCTATCTCTCTCTCTCTCTGTCTGGCAAGTGCACACGCCCTATAGTAAAAACCTCTCCAAAAAAAAATAATAATAAAAGAACCTGTTGGGTATGTCTGCCTGTCTGTCTGTCTCTCTTAGAAGGAATAAATCGATCAACTTTAAAAAAAATGCAGTTGGGTCAGCATCATGGCCTGGTGGTTAAGGAAGCCAGACCCACGTCAGCCACAGTTTGAATCCCAGCCCCAGCCACTTGAAAAACATGCCAGGTGTATGTGCATGCATGCCCCAAATCCTGAAAGAATAGAGAAACAGAGAAGGGATTGTGGCAGGACCACATTCCACTAGGGGGGAAGCTTGCTTCTTCTCCCTCTCCCTCTCTCTGTCTCTCTCTGATAAGACAGTTTTGCCCTTTAGCAAAACTAAAACAATTAAAATAAAAATAAAAGCTCATCAGTAATTTCATATTAATTACTTGTATATACTGGTTTAAATAAAATATATTATTATTATTAATCTCACCTGTTTCTCTTTACTTTTGGAAATGGGGGTCACGTTATATTTGCATTGCACGGCACTGTTCTAGATGACAAGTTAATCAAGGCTGGAAGACGCTACATGACTTTCTGAGATCACACAACCAACAAAGAGTCCAGTGGGATCAAGACCCAGGTCTTCTGCTCCCACTGCATTTTGCAACCTCCCAATAAAGCTTCAGAGTATTGCTTGCCCTAGAGTAGACTAGCATCTTCAAAAGCAAATTGACCATTAAAGGGCATTGGCTCAAGGTTCAGGAGTCTCCGGTGCAAGTCCCTCTGCTACTCAGTCCCTGCTGCACTGAGCGCATCACCTCACACTCTGGGTCTCTATTTCCTCAGCTCTAAATTGAGGAAGCATAAATCTGTGAAGCCTTTTTGTCACCATGTGACTGCAGCATTGACAACCTGCAGTTCTGTGAAGTGAATTTGACTATTTCACGCAGAGAGAGAATGACCTCCCTGGACTTCATCAGGGTGTGCAGAGGATAAGGATCCCCTACAGGAGGGCAAAGGAGCCCCTCAGCAATGCATCAGTCCATTGAACGGAGCCACGGGGACCCCACTGATGATGCAGCCTGTGTCTGTCATAAGCCTTCAGTTACTGTGGGATGTCTAAGCCAGCTTTTGAAAGACAAACTGCCTTCCACATGAGGATCATTGCTCTGTTGCATCAGCAGGTAGAACTAAATTCTGCTGCAATGCCAAACAGTTACATAATCTGAAGGACTCCAGGAAAAAGGTCTGAAGAGCACTGGACAAAATCTAATATGGAACAGCTTGAACTAGACAAAGAGGGGCACTATTACTCTTGACAAGCTTTAAGTCACTTTCAAAATAGAGAAAACCAATTCACTCTGTGAATGTACTAAAAATCACTAAATTCTATATTTAAAATGGTGAATGTCATATATAAATTATTGGGTCATCAGAAAAGTCATGATGCATTTTTGCATTTAGTTCTAGATGACAAGTTAATCAAGGCTGGAAGACGCTACATGACTTTCTGAGATCACACAACCAACAAAGAGTCCAGTGGGATCAAGACCCAGGTCTTCTGCTCCCACTGCATTTTGCAACCTCCCAATAAAGCTTCAGAGTATTGCTTGCCCTAGAGTAGACTAGCATCTTCAAAAGCAAATTGACCATTAAAGGGCATTGGCTCAAGGTTCAGGAGTCTCCGGTGCAAGTCCCTCTGCTACTCAGTCCCTGCTGCACTGAGCGCATCACCTCACACTCTGGGTCTCTATTTCCTCAGCTCTAAATTGAGGAAGCATAAATCTGTGAAGCCTTTTTGTCACCATGTGACTGCAGCATTGACAACCTGCAGTTCTGTGAAGTGAATTTGACTATTTCACGCAGAGAGAGAATGACCTCCCTGGACTTCATCAGGGTGTGCAGAGGATAAGGATCCCCTACAGGAGGGAAAACGCGCCCCTCAGCAATGCATCAGTCCATTGAACGGAGCCACGGGGACCCCACTGATGATGCAGCCTGTGTCTGTCATAAGCCTTCAGTTACTGTGGGATGTCTAAGCCAGCTTTTGAAAGACAAACTGCCTTCCACATGAGGATCATTGCTCTGTTGCATCAGCAGGTAGAACTAAATTCTGCTGCAATGCCAAACAGTTACATAATCTGAAGGACTCCAGGAAAAAGGTCTGAAGAGCACTGGACAAAATCTAATATGGAACAGCTTGAACTAGACAAAGAGGGGCACTATTACTCTTGACAAGCTTTAAGTCACTTTCAAAATAGAGAAAACCAATTCACTCTGTGAATGTACTAAAAATCACTAAATTCTATATTTAAAATGGTGAATGTCATATATAAATTATTGGGTCATCAGAAAAGTCATGATGCATTTTTGCATTTAAAAAAAAAAACAGGAAAGTATGTCATAACTTTCCCAATGACTTAATCCATCTCAATAAAAATTCAATATTTCTATATAAAAACAACATAATGCCCCACATATAAAATAATAAACTACTAATTACAATTTTTTGTTAAAATAATTTTTTTTTACTTTGCTATAGGGCATGTGTACTCATCAGAGGGAGACAGAGAGAGAGAAAAAGAGATAGCAAGCCGCCCAGTCTGGGACTCGAACTATGGTCAGCCATGTGAGAGTCCAGCACCTTAACCACTATGCCACTTGCTGGCCCCACAAATTTTTTTAAGAAATTAATGTTAGCAGGCAATTAGATAAGCTATTGCTTTACATAATGTTGGCCATTTCAAATTAATTAGAGTAAGGAGAAATATCTCTGTCTACTCTTATTCTCAGAAAAGAATGCCTTCCCAATCCTCCCTGCTATGGGGCGTGCCCAAGGCACTTCTGACCCTGCAGTCTCCAATCTTTTCCCTAGGCAGTAGGTAAGCAGTAACACACCATTCTGCACACATGGGAAGGTTCCAGGTTTGAATCCAAAGGCCTCCCTGAAAGCACTAGGCATGCACATATGCCTATACCCAGGCTGGCTGGAGCTGGGGGTGGACTGCAGCAAAAAGACCCTGCCTATTTCTCTCTCTCACTCACAAAAGAAAAAAAAGAAAGTTTTAAAAAAAGGTAGGGACAGAGAAGGTCTAGATGGTAGCTTAGCAGTAAAACACAATGCTCTGTAAGGTAATCCCACATGGGAAGGTTCCCAGGTCAAGTCCAGAGACCTCCCTGAGTCCCCAGCGTACATGCCTGCCCATGATCTGAATTGGCTGAAGGGTAAGGGTGGATTATGGTGTCAAGACCCTGTTGGAGGTACTGTCTCTCTCGTGCACATGAAATAAATAAATAAGTAAAGTTTAAAAGAGAGAGAGAGAGAAAGGTGGTAACAGATGCCTAGTACAGACTCTTATAGACGGCATTCATTTCAACTCAATGCCTTTAATGAATATATCAATTTATCTAATGTGAGACACAGGCTAAAAGCGAGTGTTTCTTTTGGTAGCTGGTTGTTTTAAATTCATTAACAAATTGCTGTAGCTCACATCTGTGAAGTACTGAACTCTCAAATTATAGCCCTGCACTTTGGAAATAAGAACAGCTTCTCAGCTGGACTGCACTGCGGATTTGATGTCAAAGAATGTGTGCCCCCATCAATGTACGTACATTACGTACTCCACCTGAATTTCCACACAAAATACAAAGTATGAAGGTCCCTTCTTTTCGCTAAAAAAAAATGTAATGCATTCAACTCTGTGTGAGTGGCCTTACCAAAATAAATCTCTCAGAAGTGTAGTTTTCAGTCTACCAGCAGGGGTCAGGGCAATCTGGGTCAAAGGGAAGGAGCAATCACTTTGCAGAAAATGTTGTGTTGCCTCCAAAAGAAAAGTTACTCCTGGTCTGTACAGTATTGGCTGTGTGTGTCAAATGGGTAGACAGAGGCACAGCCAAACAGAGACACAGCATAAGAAAAATAAATAAATAAAACAGATTATGGAGAAAAATGAACGATCAAAAAGAGACAGAATAGAGAGAAAAATCAGAAAAACAGGCTGAGTATCTCTTATCCAAAATGCTTGGAAGTCTTTCAGATTGGGGGTTTTTCTGAATTTTGGAATGCTTGCATATTCCCAGTAAGATATCTTGGAGGTAGAACCCGAGTCTAAACATGAAACCATTTATGTTTCATTTATGCCTTCTACTCTGCTGCAATGCCACATGTTACATAATCTACAAGGATTCCAGAAAGAAAAGGTCTAAAGATCTCTGAACAAAATCTAACATATAATGGCTCGAACTAGAAAAGGAAAGGCGGTATTAATCCTGGCAGTATTTAACTCACTTCTGAAACAGAAAACTAGCTCACTCTATGAATATACTAAAAAAAATCACTAAATTCTATACTTAAAAATGGTGAAGGTGATTTTATACAATTATTTTTCTCTTGCAGCATTTTGACTCTAACCTGTTACATGATGGGTAACTCTAGACATCAAGTCTATGTTTAAAAAGTTTCTTTGAGCTCTTCAGATTCTGGATTTTCAGATTAAGGATGCTAATATATAACCATGTAAAAAGAACAGAGAGGGGCTGACAGGTGGCACGGTGGTTGGGGGACTGGACTCCCACATGACTAATCGCAGTTTGAGTCCCTGACCTGGTGGCTTGCTTTCTCACTTTCCCTCTCGCTCACTGTCTCTCTCTCTGATGAGTACATGTACCCTATAGCAAATTTTAAATAATAATAATAATAATTAAAGTTAAATAAACTTTTTATTTTTTGGGAGGGAGGCTTTTGCTATAGAGTGCATGTGCTCACCAGAAAGACAGAGAGAGACAGGGAGACAGAAAGCAAGAAATCACCTCCCAGGGAGGATGGCCACGCTGCAATCCCTTCTCCTCCATTCTCCTCTCGGGATCTTGGGCACGCATGCACACATGCCCGGCGTGAGTTTAAGCCACCAGGTCCGGGACTTGAACTGTAGTCAACTACATGGGAATCCAGCGACATAGCCATTACACTAACTACTGGCCCTGCCCAATAAACAATTATTTTTAAAAGACTAGAGAAATATAGACATAACTAGATAAGCACAGAGATTAGAGAGAAAGATACAAAAACAGATCAATAAAACAGAGGGGCCAGCAGATGGCATAGCAGTTATATTGCTGAACTCCCACATGGCCAACCACGGTTCAAATCCCAGACCTGGTGACTTGGGATTAACACCAGGTACATGTGCATGTATATCTAGGATCCCACAAGGAGAATGGAAGTGAGGGGACTGAGGTGTGGCCATGCCCTCTGGGGGATGATTTCTCACTTTCCCTCTCACCATCTCTGGCGTATATACTCTAAAGCAAAAACCTCTTAAAAACTAATAATAATAACATACAGGTAAATACAGTAGGTAAATATAGAGCAAATAGATTAATGGAATTAAAAGATACAGATGGATACAACAGGTTAGTTTGAGATTAAACATCTAGAGAACATAGGTAGACAGTTTAGTGATGTTAAGACATCAAAATGTCTTAGATAAGAGCAGTATGTTAAATATAAATTTACCTCTGACTATATGATTTGACAATCATAATTACTGTAAGAGCAATATATTCTTATCCCTATCATATAGTCGAGAAAAACGCAGAGGAAAAGGAAGTGAGCGTATGTTTGATGTGAGTGCGTCACTTGTATTATCAGATTTCATTCTCATAACTTAACTTACAAAGTATTTTGCAGACATGGAGAGGGTTTCAGAAAGGTAAAGTAATTTGCCTAAGGTCATCCCAGCAGTAGCATCAGAATTCTGGCTCCAAAGACCATGACCTTCCCTTTGAACCTCCATGCCATTGGTTCAGGTGGTCACGTCCAGAATTCTGAACGGCCGGTTACCCTGTGGAAGTGCTGGGACCCACCTGTTAACGAGGCTGAGTGCTCTGCGCCCGCAAGAACACATGTTGCTTTACGATCCTCCAAACCTAGGAGGGGAAAAGAATATTGCTTTTGAATCACATTATAGCGGAACTGGGTGGAGGGGACTCTCCAGCCACCTGACACGGGGACAGTGTCAGCTGGTGCAGGCAGGTCTGAGTGAGCAGCACTGACGGAGGAGGAGGCCGCGCTGTAGGAAGACTGGTGACACGGCAGAGTCTAAACAAGTGAGGAGACACGCTGAGGATAAAGGAGCCAGCTTCCTCTATCGGAGAGGAAAGAGAAGGTGCATAGGTGAAAAGGGGGAAGGCTGAAGCCAGGCTCGTGTCATCAGACACATCAGAGAAACCAGTGTCAATTCACGGTTTCTAGTAGAGATACACAGAGGTGTACGCGTCTAAGATTACGTGTGTGTGTGTGTGTGTGTGTGTGTGTGTGTGTGTGTATGCTTCCTAGCTCTGTCTGCTGAGAGGCTCGAGAAGGAATGACATCTCATACAACCAGCTGCTACCACCTTAACACCTACAGGCACTTAAATACCAACCAAGCCTCCCGAGGACACACAGGCAGAACTAGGTTTTGAACTGGCCTTCTATCTCCAAACCCAGCACGGTTTTCTCCCTTAATTACACTGCCCTCCCTGACAAGGTATAATCCCAACCCCTTCTGCTAAAGGTTGGAGTAACCTATGACAACGTGCGATCTATTGTAGTATGCAATAAACGCAGTCCCACTCTATAAAGCCTTTTTCTGTCACTTCTGTTTAATTAACTGATGTCTTAATAAAATGGCCCTCAGACCCAGCCAGCATCCGGTGGAATGATAAGAGGACAAAGCAGGTGCCTCCAGCCACAGTTAACAGAGAGGAGGTACTGGGCCTCTAGCCAAGTGAGGAGGGGACAGCAGGGTTCCAGTTCTCTTTTGCCTATTCAGGTACTATCATTAAAAAAAGAAGAGAAAAGAAAAAGTGAAAGATTTTCAGGGAGAAAATTGATCTATTCTAATGTCTCATCAGAAATGCCCCTCAAAGCAACTGTAGATCTAAGCTGTACACAGAGATTCTAAACAGATTGTTTAAATCAAATAAAATTAGGATTGTGTTTGTTTTTATTTCTATTTATTCAAACAAAATGATTTAAAAACATTTTTTTTTCATTCCTTCTAGTTACAGGTCCTGTCCTAAAACACAGAGTAGAATGATACACAGTTGGGACCAGCAGGTGGCATGGTGGTTAAGGATGCTGGAGTCCCACATGGCCGACCGTGGTTCGAGTCCTGGGGACTTGGCAGCTTGCTTTCTCTTCTCACTCTCTAGTCAAATTAAAATAAACAAATAAAGTTAAATAAAATAATTCTTAAGAGAAAAAAAAGAATGATACACAGTTAAGCCTTTAAAAAGTTCATGACTAGGGCCAGCAAGTGGCATGGTGATTGAGGCACTAGACTCCCACATGGTCAACTGCAGTTCAAGTCCCAGAACCAGTGGCCTGAGAATCACACTGAGTACGTGTATGTGTAAGCCCAAAATCCCAAGAGAAGAATGAAAGAGAAGGGTCTGTGGCATAGCCATCCCCCCAGGAGGTACCTTCTCGCCTTCCCTCTCTCTGTGTCTGTCTCTCTCCAGCGAGCACACACACCCTATGGCAAAAATAAACACCCCTGTCCTTTGCTATCTGAGAAAACACATGAACAACACATAATAATAATACAATACACTGAGGCATCCATGGACATGAAGAAAGTGCAATGGAGGCTAGAAGAGGAGTCTTTACTAAGAAAGCTGTACCTGAGCTGGTCCTTGAAAATTCTTAAGATTTTCCAAGAGAACAAGAAGAGAAAGGCCCTTCAGGCAGAGGTAACCATTTGCGAACAGGCACAGAGGCAGGAGAAACAGGGAACACCTAGGAAGCAGGGCACACCTTGAAAGAAGAAGTGTTTGGGAAGTAGTTTACCATGGGCATTTTCGACGCGGTGTGAAGCGGACCACCTCACCAGCACCCACTGCCTGCTCCGCCTTATGTCAGAGTGTCCCCCTCAATTCAAACTCTGGCAGCACAAAGGGCTGCCTTCTTACTGGGCCCATAAAAATCCCAACAAAACTAAAAGACCAACCAACCGAGGAAGTTGGACAGAGACACCAAGGAACAGTAAAAGGAAAACTCCAGATAGCCCTCGTGTCTCTATGTCCTGATAAAGAACAAAGGACAAAGAAGAAAGAAGCCCTCACCTGTCACTCTGCTTGGTTCCTTGGCTGTCAAAAACAGTGGAAGAGTCTGCCCCGGGCACAGCCGTCGTCCAGACGATGCTAAGCCAGTCCCCCACTGGAACACGATGCCACTCACTTCCCAACAGAGAGGAAGAAAAAAAAAAAAAAACAGAAAACATGCATCAGATGCCCTCGGGACCTCACTGCTATGGAAATTCTTCATTCATTCTGTTAACTTGATGGCTGCTTCAAGGAGTCCTATGACTGGTCACAGGAATCACCACCACGCCAATCGCAAAGCCGGTCTTCAAGGCATCTTGGACCATCACGGAATATTCCAACACAGTTAAATTTCCTCCGAAAAGTTCCAGACTGGAATGATGCCTGGTTCATGATGAACCTGAAAGGACAACCTGGTCTCTACACCAAGCAGAAAAGAACCTTGAAGATTGTCCAGTACACTCCTCACATTTACTAGATGAGAAAGCTGAGGCCCTAAAGAAAGAATACGCGTGGTCCTCAGCCACCCAGGGAGGTAGTGGCAGAGAGCATGCTGGGATTCAGCTCTCCTAGCGCAGTGCCCTTTCCACTACACCAAGATTCGAATTCCTAGCTGGGGCTGGCAGGTGTTATAGTGGTTAAGACATTGGACTCTCACACGGCCGACTGCAGCTCAAGTCCAACACCTGGCAGCTTGCTTTCTCATCTTCTCTCTCTCTCTGGTAAAATTAAAAATTAATAAAAAATAAAATAAATATTTATTTTAAAAAATAATATTTTTAGTTGTCAGATACTTACATACATAAAACTGTAGATAGTTACCCGACAGCTACAAATTCAACAGAATGGCCTTTTATGTCATGTCCACTGAATCTAACTCATGGACCCCGTCTGGACCCCATGCAGATGCACAGAAGAAATCCTGCACATCTGACCTACCGTTGGGTGTGTGCAACTTGGATCCAGCAGCTGGCTCCACCACCCAGCTGCCACAGTAGGGATCTCTACTCCAAAGCACCCCATAGTCTATGTCCTTTGACCACAAACAGGCAAGCCTCTTTGTGAAAAACAAGCTGTGACCACTGAGCACACTGAGTGAAACAGGGGGTTGAGACAAAACACAACTTACAATCTCTTCACCAATTCCAAGGAAAAGGAGAAAGGAAAAAAAGGATAGCTTAAAAGAGACTTCAGATGGGACCAGCAGATGGCGTAATGGCTTTGTCTCTGGACTTTCATGAAGCTGACCACAGTTAGAGTCCCGGACCCGGTGGCTCAAACTCACGCCAGGCACGTGTGAGTGGGTGCCCAAGATCCCGAGAGGAGAATGGAGGAGAAGGAATTGCGGTGTGACCGTTCCCCCTGGAGGGTGATTTCTCACTCTCTGTCTCTCTTTCTCTCTGTCTTTCTGACCCTATAGCAAAAACGTCTCCAAAAAAAACAAAAGAGACTTCAGAGGGTCAGCCAGGTGGCGTGGTAGTTGAGGTAGCTGGATCCCACATGGCCAACTGTGTGGTTTGAGTCCCTGACAGATGGCTGAAAAAACACACCAGGTACATGTGTATGTGTTCCCAAAATCCTGAGAAAAGAATGGAGAAGAGATTGCAGTGTGGCCATCCCCCCAGGTGGTAATTTTTTTGTTTTCTGTCTCTTTGTCTCTCTCTCTGGCTCTCTAGTAAGTGCACACACCCTATAGCAAAAATCTCCCTTAAAAAATTAATTAATTAAAAATAAAATTAAAATTAAAAATAAGAGACTTCAGATTATAAGGGCATAACATGCATAACATACACAGAACTCCTAAAATTTAACGATAAAAAATTATCTAATTATTCAATTAAAAAATGGGCAAAAGATTTGAATGAACATTTCTCCAAGAAGATATACAAACGGCCAATAAACAAAACAAAAGACAGCCAATATCACTAATCAGTAAGAAAAGGCCAATCAAAATCACAGTCAGATAGCACTTCATACCCATTTAGACACTACTACCAAACGATGAGAAAATAGCAAAGGCTGGTGAATTTGCGGAAAAACTGTAACGTGCGCTGTTCTTGGGAAGACAAAATGGTGCAGCTACTATGGAAAACCTCAAAAAAATTAGAGGCATGGCATTCCCCTTGGGGGATGATTTCTCATTTCTCTTCTCTCTCCTGTCTCTCTGGCGAGCACAAGTACCCTCCAGCATCAACTAAAAAAATAAAAACAAAAACTATTTAATTCACATGACTTTCTGGTGGTGACAACTGGATGAGGTAATCAATCAAAAGGACCTCATATCATGCCTAGAAGACAGAGTCAGAAAGAAGACTTCCATTTCCTTCCTCCCTCCTTCTAAAAGCTTTCTCACATGGCCTCTGCCTAAAGTGCCCTCCTCGAAATCAGAATTTCAATGCAGCAGGACCCTCTGAAATACTCCTTAAGTGGGACCAGCAGATGGCATAATGGTTATGACTGGACTCCCATGTAGTCAATGGGAGTTCAAGTCCTAGACCTAGTGGCTTAAAATTCATGCTGGGCGCATATATGTGTGTGCCCAAAATGCACGAAGGAAAAGGGATCGTGGCGTGGCCAAGCCCTCTAGGGGGTGATTTCTTATTTTCTCTCTCTGTGTCTCTGTCTCTCTGGCAAGCACATGCACCTTATAACAAAAATCTCTCAAAAAAAAAAAAAAAGAAAGAAAGAAAAAAGAAATACTCCTTTAAAGAGAATCTTTTTTCTTAAAGCTAAATTTTTCCTTATTCCATACCTATTTAGAAAATAAAAACGAAATGATCACCTGTAGCAGCTAACGCGTGCCTCAGTCCAGCAGCCACGCTCACAACCTTCTCGGTCAGGAGCTGTCAACAAAGAAAACAATGGAGAGCTCAGAACCACCAGCCATCTGTAAGATGTGGTGTGACGTGTACCCAAATACAATGCAGCAGGGGCCTCACTATATGCCTGACTAGTGTGAAGGACCTCTCCGCCACCATCCCCACCCATAAATACTTGTACATTTACCCCTAAAGGCAAAATACCTTTCTAAAACACCACGGCACATCACAATGCCTCTGAGAACTCAGAGGGGCCTTCAAGGTGATCTAGCCCAGGGATGAGTAAATGTTCTCTGTAAAGAGACAGACAGTAAATATTTTTTACTTTACAGGCCATATGGATTCTGTCACACCACTCAGCTCCACTCTAAAAGCAGCAACAAGGACAGCTGGTGGCATGGTGGTTAAGGTGGCTGGACCTCACATGACCAGCTGCACAATTCAAGTCCTAGACTCAGCAGCCTGAAAAACACACTGGTGATGTGTGTGCACATGCCCAACATCCTGAAAGGAGAAATGAAGGAAAGGGAACTGCAGTGTGCTCATCCCCCATGGAGGGTACTGTCTCTGTCTCTCTCTGTCTCTACCTCTCTCTCTCTCTTCCTCTCTCTCTCACCAGCACACTCACTATCTAGCTAGCTGACTGACTGAATGAATGAATGAATGGATTAAATGCAGCAGGAGACCATACATAAATGGGTGAGTATGGCTGTATTCCAAAAAAACTTGAATTACTGAAGGCTCTAGTTTTCCCATCCCTGATCTACTCCAGTCCCTACCCAATCCTAGAAGCCCCTCCCCACACCCCATCGTGTGGTCACCCAACCACTGTCAAACACCGATGTCCAGTGGCACAGGCTCACTATGTCTCCAGGTGCCCATTCTGTCTTGACATAGTTCCAGTGATCTCTTTTGGTGAGCTGAACTTATCTGCCTGTAGCTTCAGACAATGCTTTCCAAATATTTGAAGACAGTTGTCATGTCCTCTCTAAGACATCTTGCGGTAGTTTTAAAAATAGGTCCTTAAATTCTTTGATACTCCTCTCTTCGAGATGTGGAGCTTAATTTTTCTCCCCCTGGGTGTGCTGAACTTAGTGACAAGTTCCTAACGAAAAGAACAAGGAAGCAAGGAGTGACTCAGAGATAAAAGGCTTTGAGGCTTCCAGCCTGGCATTTCACTCCCTCTCTCTCTCCAATCACCTTCTGGGGAAGCTAAACGCCGTGTCTAAACAGTCAGATGCCATGTCGAAACAGTCCTATAGAGAAGCCCACATGGCAAGGAACTGAAGAGTCCTGTCAAGAGGCATGTGAAAGAGCTTAGAAATAGATTCCCGGCCTAGTCAAGCCTTCAGAGGCTGTAAGCAGACCCAGCTGACATCTTAAATGTAACTTCATGAAAAGACCAGCTAACCCTCAGAAACTATGAACTAATAAATGTTTGTTGGCTTAGCCCACCGTGGTACACACTGCCAAGGTGCTCCTTCTCAGAGGCCGAGGCCAGATGGGGGGTCCGAGTTCAGTTCCTGACTGAATCTCAACAGGCCAGGTGCAGTGTGTGCACCTACTCGTTTAGCTAGCTGGGAGTCTGGGGCAGGAGGATCCCAACGTGGAGACGCTGTCAAAAATCAGTATCTATTGTTCTATCTCTTGCTCCCTCTCTCTCATAAATAAATAAAAAATGAAATGTTTTAAATAAATGTTTTTACCACATTTTGATATATTATACAGCAATAGATAACTAGTGTGAATCTCTTCTTTAGGCCAAATATCCCAGCTCCGTCAGCCACTGCTAGCTTCCTAGTCTCTCCATCTTTCTCTCTTCCTCACATGCTCTGGGTGCTCAGAATCTACCTTTGAAAGGGTCTGCATGGACATTAATCATAGCCCCTTTGAGACTTTATCACATTTGTTTATTCCCATGTCCATGGTGTCTTTCTTTTTTTAAGAGAGGTTTTTTTTTGCTATAGGACATGTGTGCTCACCAGAGAGAGAGAGAGAGTGAGAAATCAGCCCACAGTGGGGATGGTCACGCTGCAATCCCTCCTCCTTCATTCTCTTCTCAGGATTTTAGGTACCCATGCATACTTGCCCAGCCGAGTTTGAAGCCATCAGGTCCAGGACTCAAACCATGGTTGACCACATGGGAGCCCAGTGCTACAACCACTATACCACCTGCTGGTCACCACGGTGTCTTTCTGTACGTTAGGATTGTCAATAGCAGGGCCTATGTACCAAATCTACAAGGAGACAAGTTTGGATGCAGTCTGACCAGCACAAAGGACACCTATCTGGCCTTTCTTCTTCTGGAGACTGTCCTTATCAATGAAGTCCGTGATCACATAAGCGTTTGGGTAGATCAAATCTTCCTGCTCATACAATTTAAACATACTATGCTTTTTTCTTTCTTCTTTTTCTCTCTTTTTATTTGTTTTCTTTTTTAAATCGAACTGAAAGATGTCCATCTTTTCCCCTCCATCCCCACTGCCACTTGACTGCGGACAAGATCTCCTAAGTAGTCTTCCTTTAATCCATCCTCCACACCCCCCTATCTGGCCTTCCCTCACATGCTGTTCTTATCCCATGTCATGAACTGTCACCCTGATTGTGCCCCTCCCCACCCACTCCGCGCTGGCATGCCCCCCTCTTTCTTAGTCCAACCGTACTAAACGCTGACAGGTCCCGAAGCCCTCTCATGTTACAATTCTGTAACTTGGCTTACACAGTTCCTTCTGCCTGGAATGCTCTTCCTTTGCACCTAAACATTCTTCTATCCCAAGCCAGGGAAACTTCCACTAGACTTTTAAGACTTAGCTTAAGCTTGTTTTTATCCCACCTTCCCTCATACATGAGTTCAATACTCCTCCTTTGGGGCGACACATGCATCTGTTATAGTTCTAGCATGGCACTGCATTTGAGTATTTATGTACCTATCATATACGCTCCCACACTAGGACAGGTCTTCATCACCTTTGTTTCCACAGCCTGCACCTATACCATGATAAACGAATGAAGGAGTTCCCATTGTATTTCACTTTGGCCCCTTCCCTGCACTGTTCCATAGGATACAGTCTGTTGAAACGTTTCTACGTCCTGATTCTCTCATCTAATATGTTTTAAGCATGGTTCCTCTCTGTCTTCTTTAATTATATGAACTATAATTAAGTTAAATTAATTATAACTTCTATGGAGAAGGCCATCCATTTGCAAATGGGAGTGTTAACACTTCCTACAATGGGGACTATGGAGCCTGGACTTGTGGGCATACCATGGGAACCACTGCCCCAAATAACACTCCGCAGATCAGAAGCCAAGGTCGGAAGATGACAGGAGCAGCTCCTAGCGCTGATAACTGAGATCAGAGCTTAGAGAAATTAGGCAGGAGTGGGGCAGCTTGGGTGGTGAGACTCACTTTAGATGCCAGTATATTTCTTTTAAAATCCATCATCTTATCATAATCACTTAAAATAAAAACTTCACAAAAATGCATACGTTTTAAAATAAGGCAGTAAAAAGAACCCCAAACTAGAGCCACAAGGCCTGTTTAACAGCTGTGTCCAATATGGTAGCCACTGGCCTCCCTTTGGGCTCGGTTCCACGGACTACCTGTGGCCATTGAACACACAAAATGATTAAGACCGCGTCAAGACAGACTGTAGATAAAATGTCCGTGACTTATATAAAGAATAGAATGTCGCATTAATAGACTTTATACTGAAGACATGCTGAAGTGACAATAGCTTGGGTAAACTGGATTAGTTATAAAGTTATTACAATAACATCAATTTCACCTACGTGCTACAACATGGAGAAAACTTGGAAATCACGTGAAGTGAAAGAAGTCGGACATCAAAGCCACACCGTGTGTGATTCCATTGATATTAAATGCCCAGAACAGGCAAATCCATAGAGACAGAAAACAGATTAGTGGTCCCCAGGGGTTGGCAAAGGGGAGAAATGGGAAGTGACTGCTGTTAGGGACACAGTTACTTTGGTGGTAATGAAAACACTCCACGATTAGATAATGGTGACAGCCGCTCACATCTCTGAATATACTAAAAACCACTGGGTGACACATTAGAAGAGGGGTGAACTTTATATTTGTGAATTAGCGCAATAAAGCTATTACGTAACATTTTAATTTCTGAGCTAGAAATTAGAAGCAGTATAGTGGTTAAACCCTGGGCATAGGAAGCAGAATCCCACATGGCCAACCACAGTTCAAATCCCAGCCCTGGTGGCTTGAAAAACACACCAGGCATGTGTGTACATGTCCAAAATCCTGATGGGAGGAGAAATAGAGAAAAAGATTGCAGTGTGGCCACACCCCCACAGGGGGAGTGTGCTCACTCACCACACTGTCTCTCTGGCAATTAAAAAAAAAAAGTTAACTTCCCTTGTTACTGTTTACTAGCTACTGGAAGTTTTCAGCTATGTGTGTATCTTGCATTACATTTCTACGGGACAGCACTGACCCATCTCATTTGCCTAGGTCCATGTCTTTAGGCAAAGTCACTTCCATGTGAACCTGTGTCTAACAGAGTTCCCATCATTACTAATTGCAAAATTGTAAAACGTCATTAATGTCCTCGCAAAATGTACCACCTCTGTTGCTTTATTTCACAAAAAATGCATGATGCGTACGAGGACTAACAGGTTCTTCACTCACAGCATCCTCCCTTCCCAATCTCATTTTCCCCAGAAGGACTTATTTCTCAACTCGAATTCTCCTCCCCTGTGGGCTCTCAGGGACCCCGTGAGCCTTTTATTCTAGGAAGGACAACTGTAATATCCTAGACAGGACACAGGCAGGCTAAATCTTAGCTGTCCTCACCTCGATGACCTGGGGAACCACACATCTTCGAGGCCCGTGAGGAACTCCTAACTGGCCAAAGGAGTTAGAGCCACAGGACAGAACTTGACCACTTCCTGCAAAACACAAATACTTCAATTGCAAATCTAAGCACTGCGGTGTCTGTGACCAATGGGTAAATACTGAAGGTGAGCAGCACAGAGAGGAGAGGAGGTGAGGGGACCCGGTACCTCAATGCATTCAGACCAGGTCACCTGCTTTTATTTTTCTAGGGATAAAATCCCAGGTTAAGTGTTTACACAGATACCTGTCATTCTCTGTCAAGGACGACAGCACGTCTGTGTGGAACACTTAGCCTAGAGTTGGAAGGGAAGATCCTTATTCCTCACTTTTCATGTTTCCATGGGACAGAATTTACATCGTTCTAACACTCCAGGACTGCCTCTCTGCCCTTCCCCACAGGCACTGCTCTCTCAGAGACAATGGGTCACCTAACCAACTAGCGAGTTTGGAAGAAGGGATGAGATGTGTGCAGCATGGCCGCCTCCTTTCCGACATTCTGGGCTGACATGTAAAAGGGCTTCACCTGTGGAAAAGGCCCAGCGTCTGGGCCTAAGTCGGGACCACAGGAGTGTTATGACCACTTGGCCTGACCTCCAACTTAGCCTCTGTCAATAAAAAGCTGACTGACTGAGGCCAGCAGGTGACATGGTGGTTAAGGTGCTGGATTCCCACATGGCCGAATGCAGTTTGAGTCCTGGACCCAGTGGCTTGGGAGAGTCATGCCAGGCACGTGAGGAGAATGGAGAGGGGATTGCAGTGTGGCCATCCTCCCCAGCAGGGTGATTTCTCATTTTCCCCCTCTCTCTGTCTCTCTCTGGCGAGCACATGCAACGTATGACAAAAACCTGGAAAAAGGAGCTGACTGATCTCCAGCTCCAACTGCGCTATGCCTTTCTCACAGCTGGTTCCATGTGTGGGCAGGACACGGTGTTATCTACCGATTTCCTCCAACCCCAGCCCAGGCCCACAGTAAGCCCTTCCTAAACGATAGCTGTTATTTAGGGTCTAGTAACTACTATCAAATTCAACACAGGTTATAGAATCCGTCTGCTGAAGAGAAAGTCGGACATGTGAGTGGGGATGGGCTAGGAGTGCACTGGGCAGCCCAGAGGGGCTATTCTGGACAGTGAGAAGAGCACGTACCATCGGGCATTGCTAGAAGGAAATGTGTGAGGAGCATGAGGAGCGTGGAGACAGAAGCAAGGCAAAAGAGATGGGGACCTCTCACAGAAGGCCACGTGCTACGAAGTTTGGAATCTGAACTACACACATGAGAACAAGGGATCGAGGCAAGAGGAGGAACATGGTTAGAAAAGGCCCTTGTCAGGGCCAGCAGGTGGAGCAGTGGTTAGAGGTGCTGGACTCCCACACGGCCAATTGCTACACGAGTCCCAGACCTGGTGGCTTGCTTTCTCACCTTCCCTCTCTCCCTCTCTCACTCTGTCCCTCTCCGGTCATACTAAAAATACATTCTACATACACAAAATAAAGTCCATCTGCTCCGTACAGCTTCCTCCATACTCCTCTACGTCCTGTTCTGCTAGCGGCTTCACAATGACCAAACAGTTCTGCCCAACCACATTTATTTTAAAAATGCAAAAAGTAGGAAAAAGCTGCCATCTCTACGGTGACCACTTCTATTTCCTCATTCCCACCACATTCCGCTGTGAGTAACCTTAACTAGCCCTCCAGGCCAGCAAGCCAAGGTACACAGCACTTCTGAACTCAAGGGACAGGAAGTGGTCACCAAAGATAGATGTGGTCCATTCCCCAGCTCCTGGCAGGTTTTTCGGTGCAGTCGCAATCTCCTGAACTGTTAGAACTCTCCTTATGAAAGGTATCCCACAACTTCCCTTGGCAACCAGAGAGAGCACCCATGTGTGTTTTTTTAAACAAAGAGGCTTTCATTTACTCAGAGGTCACCTCCCTCATGCTGTTCTTACCCAAAGCCTTGGAGGTGATCAAGATTTGCCCAGGAGTGAACTCACCTGTGAGTATAATGGTAAAGTCCCAGCCACAGGCCACCTGCTGGATGGGACAGCCCAGGAGGGATGTGCAGGGGATGAAAGACAGAACGTCCTCTGTGTGACCAAGTCCCAGCTGCCCGTCTTTGTTCAGGCCACAAACAAAAAGGTCTCCTCCATCTGTACAAGAGAAAGACTTCAGTGATCGCATTTCCGGGAATCATAACTGCCAAAGGGAGCAAAAGGTGTCGCTAAGTATTTGAAGTTACAGACCAGTCCACTTTCCACCCAAGTGAATAAGCCATGCACGTTCGTGCGCTCTGAAGCCAGAGGACATAGGGCCACCACCTCAAATTTAATACCCAAACGGAAACTCCAGGCCCTGCCAAACCACCAACTTGAGCATCACTGTAGTAAGAGAAGCCAACAGTTACTCCACATGGAGAGTGCGCCAGGCACTGGTCTAAGAGCTTTACATGAAGGGAGGCTGAGCCTTTAGACACAGTGTCTAGTGCCCACAATACTTCCAGTGACCCAAGAGGGCGGCTTAATTTTAAATTCTCTTAAAATGAGAAAAATAGGGCCAGCAGGTGGCATAATGGTTAAGGCACTGGCTTCCCACATGGCCGACCACGGATCAAGTCCCAGCCGTGGAGACTTGCTTTCTCACTTTCCTTCTCTCTTTCTCTCTCCCCCTCTCTGTGTCTCTTTCTGGTGAGCATGAGTGCCCTGTAGCAAATGTTAAAAATAATAATAATGATAATAAATAAAATTAAATAATTTTTAATTGAGAAAAATAATGTAATAATGCAAAAATACTACTAATTCTAGTCTCTATTATTTATCTTTATAGCGATATAATTATAAAAGATAATTTTTAATATTTCTTTATGGAGATAGGAATCCACAAAGGTAAAAGTCCCAAGGAGCCATAAAAGTTGTACTAGTCCTGTTAACTCACTGACTGTCCCCAGCAGATGAGTAATTGAGACACAGAGCTATTACTGCCCAAAGTGACACAACCAGGATTTGAACCCAGATATTTAATTCCCTATTCATGTCCTTGATGCAGTATGCCCTCCTTTTCAGTATTATAACAATTATCCTTAATTTGGGGGTAGAGGTATTTGGTTTGGTTTTAGTTTTTGGTTTTTAGGGGCATTTTTTGACTATAGAGTATGTGAGCTCACTACACCCCCAGGGGTGATGGCTATGCTGCAGTCCCTTCTCTAGTCTCCTCGCAGGACTCCGGGCATGCACATGCACACACATACACACATACACACACACACACACACACACACAC